ACAACACAAGCCAATCCTAACCTAGGGCCACATACATACAAGGGGGAGAGTGACTAGCCCTACCAGGCACCCTTGTAGCGAGTCGTTGTTGTCTGCGGGAGCTCGTCCGACGACGTCCTCCTGGCGCTGGTCTTTGATTGTTGCAGTATAATTCATGCAGTATAGCCAAATCGCTCGCTCACAACTTCAATGCCAGCAGCTCACAAAGTAGAATTTTTGCTCACAGGACTCCCTCAGCTTAGAGGGAGCATCGCTTGCAAGCAGTGTTCCCTCTCGGCTGAGTCGGTGTGAGCCAGCTCACAGTTTTTTTAGCCTCCGGCTCACTCATTGTTGTCTTAGCTCAGGAAGGATGTGGCTCCGGAGCAAACTCATTTATGCAGCAGCCAAATCGCTGGCCCATAACTTCAATGCACTGGCACTCACAAAATACAATTTTTGTTCACAAGACTCCACGGCTTAAAGGGAGCATTGCAGAGGAGCCACCTAATTTAATTTTTAAAATTAGGAAAAAAGACGTAATTTTGTCCTGCGCGTATAATAGATGAGTACGACAGGCAGAAAGGCAACTGGTGCAGTTTCGTGGTGGGGTTTCAACCTCTAGCTGGGGCCTGGGAGTCAGTGTTCTCTCCAAGCTGAGTCAGTGTGAGCTAGCTCCCAGTTTTTTTAGCCTCCAGTTTGCACATTTTCATCTCCACTTAGGAAGGAGGGCTCCAGAGCAGACTTAATTTATGCTGTAGCCCAATCGCTCGCTTGCTCGCAACTTTGATGCCAGCAGCTCGCAAAGTAGAATTTTTTCTCACAAGACTCACTCCACAGCTTAGAGGGAGCATTGCTGGGGATTTGGAAAGGGGGGGGGATCTGGGGAGGGATAGGGTTGCCAACCTCCAGGTGGCAACAAATTTCCTCTCTAAGACAGTCCTTCCCAGTGAAGCAATAAAGTCCGATGTTGATGGAGAGAAGGCGATCCTTTTAACAGGGGGCCGGTAATATCCCGTTTCCACAGTTCTTCAGGAACAGGTTACAGCATCGGACTTTCTTGCTTCAGTGGTAAGGACTATCCGCGACGGGAAATTTGTTGGCTGACACCAGAGACATTCTGTATAACATTCTTCATTCAGATTGGAACATTTGATAAAAGTTTACAAGTAATTTTTTAATATAAATTCTTTGTATTATATTCACAGGTTTCTGGTCCTTTGTTGGTTTTTCCAACTGAATCACTGCTTTTTCTCCTGGAGAAAATGGCTGCTTTGGAACGTCAACTGTATGGCATTATACCCCACTGAAGTCCCTCCCCTCCCCAAACCTCACCCTCCTCTGGCTCTATCCCCCAGATCTCAAGCCAGAGCTGGCAACCCTCAAGAGGGACCTCAGCAGGCTGTAAAGCCACAGAATCCACCCTCCAAAGCAGCCCTTTTCTCCTGGGGAGACTGGTCTCGTGGGCTTTAATTCTGGAAGATTTGAACCTGTGTCTCCTTCTCTGACACTCAGATCACTATACCTGCCTTAACAGGGTTATTGTGAGGATGAAAAAGAGGACAGGAGAGTAATGTAAGCCTCTTTGGGTTCCCAGGAAGGCAGAGTATAAGTAAATAGATGTTTCATGCATGCTTTTTCCAGTAGATGTAAAGACAGTGAGTAAGTGGTTGAAGTCTTTTCTTTCCAAGCGTTGGAGGACAGTACTTGACGTTTTTCTGGTGGAATCTGAATTGTAGTAATTATGGAAGGCTAATTTATTTATTTTAAGCACATCTTTCTCTCAACACAGTTGGGACAAAAGAGGTATGCAAGCAGTACAAAAGGTTAGTACATACATGATTAATTTTCTTAAAAACAAGTGGAGTACAAAAGGGAAGAGGGGGGGTAAGGGAAAATATAGATTCCTCAAATTTACCAAATATTATGGGTTGTTATATACAACAAGGAAAATGAGATGTATTAGTAAGAATACATATTTCAAATGTAGACGCAGACAATAAAATATCAGTATTACGGTGTTTTGGGATGGATTCTGTTTTTAAAAGAATAAACAAGAACTTTCCTAATGTTAGCGATCATCTATTAGCAATAAGAAAGATTACATCTTTAACTGTTGAACAAACATCCGGCTAAAATTAAATCATTGTTAAAACCCGAATATCGTCTTAATCATTTGTCAAAACCTAAGTTTGGTTCTTACTAAATATTTAAATACAAATGGAATATTAAATAAAAAGATTAAAACTACAATCAATATCTTCATCACCTTTAATATGATATTCAGATAATTTCAAGAATCAAGAAATTTAACTATTCCCATACTATGAATAGTAAACTTGCCATTTCTGCTGATACTGAGAGCCACTTTGGTGTGGTGGTTAAGTGCACGGACTCTAATTTGGGCAAACCGGGTTTGATTCCCCGCTCCTCCGCTTGAACCTGCTGGATGACCTTGGGCAAGCCATAGTTCTGTCAGAGCTGTTCTCTCAAGGACAGTTCTGTGAGAGCTCTCTTAGCCCCACCTACCTCTCAGGGTGTCTGTTGTGGGGAGGGGAAGGGAAAGGAGTTTGTAAGCTGCTCTGAGACTCCGAGTGAAGGGCGGGGTATAAATCCAGTCTCCTCCTCTTCCACAACAGTCTTCTGTTTATATAATTAGTCTGGGATATGGGTCGATGGAGATGCATGAGTGTCGGGTAGTATAATTACATTGCTTACAAGCCCTTTGCGTGAGAATGAGATTTTAATTGGTTGTTGCCTGTGGTTAACTTTTAGTGCCCACAGTCGGTCTGAGAGAACCCCTTTGCCTGCTCGCCTTGACGGCCCTTCCCCAGCTCAAAGATGACCAGTCGGTTGTACGACAGCATAGAGCCCAACGTCATCGATGGCGAGATGCTCCAGAAGGCAGTGGAGGAGCAAGGTCCCAAAGAGGAAGCAGGGCAGCTGGCCAAGAGGGAAGGGATCAATTTCAAAGACGTCAAGGAGCTGCAGCTTGATTTCAGAAGTAAAGCTCGGAAGAATGCAACGTTTGCCTTACAGGGCAGTCTCGGGCTGCTACTCCAGGGCAATGCTCTCTCTCTTTAAGCTGTGGAGTCTTGTGAGCAAAAAATTCTACTTCCTGAGCTACCGGCATTAAAGTCGTGAGCGAGCGATTTGGCTGCTGGATAAATTTAGTTTGCTCTGGAGCCCATCCTTCCCGAGCAAAGACAAAAATGTGTGAGCCGGAGGCTGAAAAACCGGGAGCTGGCTCACACTAACTCAGCTTAGAGGGAATACTGCCCCAGGGGTCCTCAACATGGTGCGCGGACTCTAATCTGGGAGAACCGGGTTTGATTCCCCACTCCTCCACTTGCACCTGCTGGATGACCTTGGGCAAGCCGTAGTTCTGATAAAAGCTGTCCTTGAAAAAGAGCAGTTTCTGTCAAAGCTCTCTCAGCCCCACCTACCTCACAGGGTGAATGTTGTGGGGAGGGGAAGGGAAAGGAGTTTGTATGCCGCTCTGAGACTCCCTTGGGTAGTGAAGGGCAGGGTATAAATTGAACCTCTTCTTTTTCTTACTCGTGCCCACCAGGTGTTTTCAGAAACTGGTTGGGGCCGGGTGCAACTTCTGCCCAGCAGGGCTTCTGATTGGCCACTGATGATCGGGTCGGCTGTGCAGATTGTAAGAACATTGGTTTAATTGCAGCTATCGCCACCATATTGAACATAAGAACATAAGAGAAGCCAATGTTGGATCAGGCCAATGGTCCACCCAGTCCAACACTCTGTCACACGGTGGCCAAAAATACCAGGTGCCATCAGGAGGACCAGCAGTGGGGCCAGGACACTAGGAGCCCTCCCACTGTTGCTCCCCCGCCCCCCAAGCACCAAGAAGACAGAGCATCACTTGCCCCAAACCGAGAGTTCCTACCTAGACCTTGTGGCTAACAGCCACTGGTGCGCTTCTGCTCCATGTGCTTATCTAATTCCCTCTTAAATTGGTTTTATTTTCTGTCACTCCTCTTTCCCGCTGTATTTTTTAAAACTTACCCCCCCTCTTCTCCCCGCCTGTGGGCTTCCTACGTGTGGTTAGCACCTCCTCCTGCAGCAGCCGATTGTTGTGCCCACTGCCCTGTGTCAGAATTCCAAAGGTGCCCGCAGGCCCCAAAAAGGTTGGGGGGCCCCTGTGTTCCCCTCTTCTGATTCCACGGATGTCCGTGGGCTAGTACAGCTAGCCTCTGCATACTTGTTTGTCTCCCCCATCTTAGTCATTTAACTCCTGACGTACCCATTCAGACAGCTCCTTCAAGAGGGGCTGCATTTCCTTGATTCGTCTGTCTCCTAGCGATAAGACTTTATTTATTTATTTATTTCGATTCCTATCCCAACTTCCCTGACAAGCAGGCTCAAGGCGGCGTACAATAATAATTTACAATAAAAACAGATAAAATTCAACAATAAAATATAAAGTGCAGATTACATACAAACAATAAAGTGCAGATGGCGACAATGGAACGACAATGTTTGGCAGTTATTAAGCAGTGCTGCAGGCTTGGTTCTGCAGCCAGTTTGGGGCCACCAGATGGGGTTTTCGAGGCCAGAGATGCTCAGAAGTGCTCTACCTTTGCCTGCCTCTGCGTAGCCACCCTGGCTTTCCTTGGGGGGATCCCCCATCTGAGTACTAACGAGGGCCGACCCTGCTTAGCTGTTGAGATCTGATGAGATCGAGCTAGCCTGTTCCATCCGGGTCAGGGCTTATGCTAGGACAGTTCACGTAGAGACAAAAGAGTGATCTCGTAAGTTGCCGCCAAGGTTTATTTTATTTTTATTTATTTACTTCATCCATACCCCGCCTTTCTCCCCAATTACCTAAAGCAGCCAACGTCATTCTCCATTTTATGCTCACGACAACCCTGGACTCAGGACTTAGTTATACTATCCTGTTTGTAAACTGCTAGAAATTTGACAATAAAGGAGAGCCAGTTTGGTGTAGGGGTTAGGAGCGCAGACTCGAATCTGGGAGAACCGGGTTTGATTCCCCCGCTCCTCCACATGCAGCTGCTGGCATGACTTTGGGTCAGTCACAAATTCTCTCAGAGCTGTTCTCTCAAGGGCAGTCCTCGAGAAAGCTCTCTCAGGGTGCCTGTTGTGGGGAGGGGAAGGGAAGGAGATTGGAAGAGCCAGTTTGGTGTAGTGGTTAGGAGCGCAGACTCTAATCTGGGAGAACCGGGTTTGATTCCCCACTCCTCCACATGCAGCTGCTGGTGTGACCTTGGGTCCGTCACAAGTTCTCTCAGAGCTGTTCTCTCAAGGGCAGTCCTCAAGAGAGCTCTCTCAGGTCCACCTACCTCACAGGGTGTCTGTTGTGGAGAGGGGAAGGGAAAGGATTTTGTAAGCCGCTCTGAGACTCCTTTGGGTAGTGAAGGACGGGGTATAAATCCAATCTCCTCCTCCTCTTGTTCTAACAAAAAACCCCACCAACCCTGTGAGGTAGGTTAGGTTGAGAGTGTGTGGCTGATCCGAGGTCACCCGAGGAGCTTCCGTGACGGAGCGAGAGATTCAAACCCAAACTGCACCACCACACTGGCTGTTGGTTAAACCCGAGCCACCTTAAAACAGATGATTGTTTTGGGTTCCAGATATCTTGAAGATTGACAATCTCTGGCAGTTCGTCAATCTGACAAAACTGCAGCTGGACAACAACATCATTGAGAAGATTGAGGCGTTGGAAAGTCTGGTTCATCTGGTCTGGCTGGGTAAGGGATTTGTGTAAGCGCCGCTTGACATTCCTCTGTGGCGATCACCTCCTTGTAGCAATTACCTCATGCAGCCTGAGTACGTAGGCCGCCGCATCCAGTGACTGTGGGGGCAAGCTTTTTTTGGAAATATTTTGGGTGCAGAGCGGTGCTCCCCTGTGCTGCGCTCGTGCCACCTGCCCAGAGACCAACAAACGCCGTTTGCCTCTTGGCCGGCCAGGTGTTTGCATTCGCCGCTCACCCCAGGTTGGAATTGGCACGGTGACCTCTAAACGTAAAACCCGCATGCCTGTCAGATTACCAGCAGGAGGCGGCGGGAGCATAGTGTTCTCCAAAGAACACCCAGTGAAAGTCTAGCTCGCCCGGCCTGTAGGGCCGCATTCATGGTCAGGTCGTGCTTCATGAGAGAAGCCTTTTGTTCCCACCGCCGTGTCTCAACCCCAGCCTGTTAGCAAAACAGAATGACCTCATCGGGAAGTCTTTTGTTTAAAAGATGGGCATGTCATGAATAACATTCTGTTCAGATTGTTTCCAAGGGCCGCCCCGTTGGGCTGCGGTAGAACAGCTTCGAGTCCGGCAGCACCTGAGAAACCAACAAGAGCTTCAGGGTCTGACCTTCCGAGAGTCAACGCTCCCTTCGTCAGGCCTGAGTAGAAATTAAGATCTCAGAGTGCCCCAGGCATTTCCCTCCTTCCCTAAACCAGCTGATTACAAGATGCATTGTGCTTTTGTTTGGTGGCGTGGTTAAGTGCACGGGCTCTAATCTGTGAGAACCGGGTTTGATTCCCCACTCCTCCACTTGCACTTGCTGGATGACCTTGGGCAAGCCATAGTTCTCTCAGCCCCGCCGACCTCACAGGGTGTCTGTTGTGGGGAGGGGAAGGGAAAAGGAGTTTGTAAGCCGCTCTGAGACTCCCAGTGAAGGGCGGGGTATAAATCCAATCTCCTCCTCCTCCTCTTCTTTATTTTATTAAATTTATATCCCACCCTAGCCACACAGCAGGCTCAGGGTGGGTTCCAGTCAAACCGGTATACACACAATGCAGATTTACAGTTAATATTCGGAATATATAAATCAGTTAAAATTAAAACACAGGAGCGGAGCTCCGGCAGTAAAGAGCCCAGGGGGCGGACACATGCAACAAGCCCCACCCCCTGCTCCCAGCAGCCCTCAGTCAGAGCAAGAAGCAGCCAGGTAAGTTGCAGAGCCCCCCCCCCCGGCCCAAAACAGTCCAGTGGCACCTTTAAGACCAAGTTTTATTCAGGTACAAGCTCTCCCTCCTCTGCAAGGACAGTTCTGCACGTTCCCCCCCCCCCAATAGCTAGCAATCCGAAACAGTCCAGTGGAGCCTGAGCGGTGGGTGTTGCCTTCTGACACACTTCTGGTTATGTCAGGGGGTGTGGCCTATGCAAATAAGTTATGCCAATGAGTTATGCTAATGAGCTCCTGCACCTCTCTTTCTACAAAATGACCCCTGTAAACACTACAGTACTGAATATACAATACGCCTTGACAGATGATGTTAATACTGGCAGTGTAGAGTCAGATGGACGCCCGCTGCCTCAGCTAAAGGCCTGTTGGAAGAGCTCCATCTTACAGGCCCTGTGGAACTGTAATACGTCCTGCAGGGCCCCGATCTCATAAGGGAGCTCATTCCACCAGGTGGGAGCCAAGCCCAAAAAGGCCCTGGCCCTAGCTGAGGCAAGTCGGACATCCTTAGGGCCATCCTCTGCAAACATTCTTTACAATGCCCCTCCCACCTTCCGCCGAGGATAAAGGGACCCGGAGGTCTCTGTTTCTATTCGTGTTTGACAAAAGGGAGCTTTGACTCTCGAAAGCTCATGCCCCGTAACTCCAGTTAGTCTCGAAGGCAGGGGTCATTTCGTAGAAAAAGAGGTGCAGGAGCTCATTAGCGTAACTCATTGGCATAACTTATTTGCATATGCCACACCCCGTGACATCACCAGAAGTGCGTCAGAAGGCAACACCCACCGCTCAGGCTCCACTGGACTGTTTTGGATTGCTAGCTATTGGGGGGGATGGACATGCAGATCTGTCCTCTCAGAGGAGGGAGAGCTTGTACCTGAATAAAACTTGGTCTTAAAGGTGCCACTGGACTGTTTTGGACTGGGGACCCGGGGGGGCGGGGCTTTGCAGCTTACCTAGCTGCCCCCTGGGCTTTTTACTGCCGGAGCTCTGCTCCTGTGCACTCCTGCAGGAAATGGCCCCTGCTCGAAGGTGGTGTCGAACTTGAATCCAGCTCTTCTTTTTTGGAATCTTCTTTCTTGTATTAGTTAGATTTCTGGTTTCCAGGTGGCAAAATCAGTGCAGGGGATACGTGTGGGGGTAATGTGGGGGAAAGAGGAGTGTAGATGCTGTAACGGTATTCCATTTAGTAGAGTGACTCTTGCAGAGGATGCCTGCAAGGGCAACAGAAGACAAAGTTGCAGGAAGGATAAGGTGCTGCGACCGGCGGGATCTTGCCCTTCCGCCTGCACCCCACAGCCAGGCAGGACTTGCCTGGGTCGAACTCTCCCCTGCCTTTTGACTTTCCCCATTCGGCTGCCTGACGTTCTCATCCTGTTTGGGGAATTGGGGTGCTGAGGGAGTTAGGCTGCTTTGTTCCTGAAAGTAGTTTTTGTTGGGAAAATAGGCAAAAATACTTAAATACTTCCCGCTTCACTGGAGAGGAAGCATTTCTTTCTGTTTAAAAATCTTTATTTCTAAGGGTAGGGTACACAGGAAACCTACAAAATAACAAATAACTAAGGCTCCATCTTTAGAGCTACAAGAGACCAACCACAGGGTCTCACAACAACAATAACCACCACCACAACAACAACGGAAATTCTCCTCCTTCTTGACCCCTAGAAGGAAATCACCTGATTACATTAACCAATGATGTTTGTAAACAGACTTCAGTTTCCTGGGCTTTGTTTGCATTGGCTCTGAGCCAGGTTTCCTTCTGGGGTCAGGCTAAACAACAGCACACAAGGTATACAGATTAACCCTATAACGACTGCAATTTAGACCTTGCAACGCACATATTTCCAACAGTTTTAGGGGGGGGGGGTCTGAGATGTGACGATCCTCCATTATCAGCAGAGGTCTCCAGAGACGCAAGTGGTGGGGGAGATTTCATACGTGAGCCCCGCCACAGACCACCAAAACAGTGAGGCCACCTTCCCTCCCGAAGAAGGTAGCCTTGCCCCTGTTGATAAAACTCCCAAGTTGTCTTGGAGTGGAGGCCTTTTCTGTTGCCCCTGAAGGTCAGACCAGAACCAACAGATTGAAATTAAATCAAAAACGTTTTTGGCTGAACATGAGGAAGAGCTTCCTGACAGGGTAGTTCCTCGGTGGAACCGGCTTCCCGGGAGGGGTGGAGGGGGCTCTCTTTCTGTGGAGGATTTTAATCAGAGGCTAGATGGCCAATGGACAGCAATGCTGACTGTGAATTTAGACAGATGGCGAGCGGGAGGGCAGGAAGGGTTGCATCAGTGCTTGGTCCTTGTGGCCCTTTCTTACACACCCAGGGAAATGCTGATCACCAACTGGAGTCAGGAAGCAATTTTTCTCCAGGCCCATATTGGCCCAGGGATCCTGGAGGTTTTTTTGCCTTCCCCTGGGCATAGCATAGGGGTCACTGGGCGGCAGGGGGTGGGGTAGTTGTGAATTCCCTGCCTTGTGCAGGGGGTTGGACTAGATGACCTCTGAGGCCCTCTCCAGCTCTGTTTCTTCCAAACCATCTTATAGTTCCCAGCCCTGCTTGAGTGCTCATCTCCAGGATACCTGGTTCTTTAACTCGACAACTTTGTTCCAGAAAGGCAGGGCTTTGGACAGACACCACCCAAAAAGGCTATCAAAACCAGGGGTTGTTTCGTAGAAAAAGAGGTGCAGGAGCTCATTAGCATAACTCATTTGCATATGCCACACCCCCTGACGTCACCGGAAGTGTGTCAGAAGGCAACACCTACCGCTCAGACTCCACTGGACTGTTTTGAATTGCTAGCTATGGGGGGGGGGATGTGCAGATCTGCCCTCGCAGAGGAGGGAGAGCTTGTACCTGAATAAAAATTGGTCTTAAAGGTGCCACTGGACTGTTTTGGACTGGGGACCCGGGGGGGGGGGGCTCTGCAGCTTACCTGGCTGCTTCTTGCTCTAACTGAGGGCTGCTGGGAGCAGGGGGTGGGGCTTGTTGCATGTGCCTGCCCCCTGGGCCCTTTACTGCCAGAGCTCCGCTCCTGTGCGCTCCTGCAGGAAATGACCCCTGATCAAAACCCTCTGTCTACTTAAGACCAAGACGGAGCAAGGCCAAACTCCTTACTACTGGAGACCTTCGGAGCCCAGCCATGGCTCTTGTTTCCAAGCCATGCCGGCCTTCCCCTGTAGACAGAGGCGCCAAAGCAAGAGGAGATGATCCAGTTACATTCTTGTTCGAGTAGTACCCAGAGCAACAATCATTTCATGCAGTAGCAGCAAGGATCGTTGAGTCCGATCCTTTTTTTAAAAAAAAAATCTGCTTGTGTGAATATGAAACCGCCTAGCAATAAAGGTTTTAAACTGTTCCAAAGAGCCAGTTTGGTGTAGTGGTTAAGAGCGGTGGACTCTAATCTGGGAGAACCAGGTTTGATTCCCCACTCCTCCTCCACATGCAGCTGCTGGTGTGCCCTTGGGTCAGTCACAAGTTCTCTCTGAGCTGTGCTCTCAAGGGCAGTCCTCAAAAGAGCTCTCTCAGCCCCACCTACCTCGCAGGGTGCCTGTTGTGGGGAAATGAAAGGAAGGAGATTGTAAGCCGCTCTGAGACTCTGAGTGAAGGGCGGGGTATCAATCCAATCTCTTCCTCCTCCTCCCCCTCCTCTTCTTCTCTCTGTGAACTCCAACAAGGAAACTCTTTTCCCCATTCCACCCCAGATTTGTCATTCAACAACATCGAAGTCATCGAAGGTCTCAGCACTCTGGTGAACTTGAAAGATCTCAGCCTGTTCAACAACAGGATCTCCAAGATCGAGAATCTGGATGCACTGCAACAGCTGCAGATATTCTCGATCGGGAATAACAATATAGGAACCCTAGAAAACGTAAGTGTCGGCAAAGGGGAACGATCTGGGGTTGCAGTTGAGTCACCTCAGTGGGACTTACTCTTAAGTGGACACATTCGAGATTGAACGGCTCCTCTTTAAAACGTGGCTCGTGGGCAGAGGCTGAAATGTGCATGTTACTGATGGGAGAATGAGGCAGGGACAGTCTGTATTGGGGGGGAAATTCCTGTCAGTTTGACTGACAGGATGAACATAAGAGAACGTAAGAGAGAAGCCAATGTTGGATCAGGCCAATGGCCCATCCACTCCAACACTCTGTGTCACACAGTGGCCAAAAATACCAGGTGCCATCAGGAGGTCCAGCAGTGGGGCCAGGAAACCAGAAGCCCTCCTACTGTTGCCCCCCCCCCAAGCACCAAGAATACAGAGCATCCCTTGCCCCCGACTGAGAGTTCCTATCTATACCTTGTGGCTAATAGCCAGTGATGGACCTCTGCTCCAGATGTTTATCCAATTCCCTCTTGAAGCCATCCATGCTTGTAGCTGCTGCCACCACCTCCTGTGGCAGTGAATTCCAAGTGTTAATCACTCTTTGGGTGAAGAAGTACTTCCTTTTATCCGCTCTAACCCGATCGCTCAGCAGTTTCATGGGGTGCCCACGAGTTCTTGTATTGTGAGAAAGGGAGAAAGGTACTTCTTTCTCTGCCTGCTCTATCCCGTGCATAATCTTATAAACCTCGATCATGTCACCCCTCAGCCGTTGTTTCTTCAGGCTAAGGAGCCCCAAGCGCTTGAACCTTTCCTCATAGGGAAAGTGTTCCAACCCTTTTATCATTCCAGTTGCCCTTTTCTGCACTTTTCCCAATGCTATAATACCCTTTCTGAGGTGTGGCGCCCAGAACTGTACACAGTATTCCATATGATGGCCACAGGGCTGCCGCTTTTTCCCAGAGAAGAAAGAACTCCCATCTAGGTTTGCCAGTCTCCAGGTGGGGCCTGGAGATCTCCCAGAATTTACAGCCTTGTCTCCGGACTACAGGGAACAGTTCACATGGAGAATACGGCTCCTTTGGAGAGTAGACTCTTTTTTTTTTTTTTAAGATTTTTAAAATTTCATATACAAGACAGACAAGACAAACGTACATAAATACGTATTGAGGGAAATCCATTTGTATCCTTATTTAACCTAGTTATTGACCTCATAATGTATCCAAAACATTCATTTCTTTTTTCCACCTTATAATGTTCACATCTACCTTTTGCATACAGTTAACTGTACCATTCTTATTTCCTTTTATTTCGGTTATATGTCTGAGAGTTTTATGTATTGTACTCTTCTATCCATTTGTAAAATCTTAACTACCGGTATGTATCCTCAAGGTTTTCTTTGTTACGTCCTCTCAAGAATTGAAGTTAAATTGTTAAATCCTAATTTTATCTGTAGTGCTATTGTCAGATGTACAGCCACTTTATATTTTATAATATTCTTAACTGTATTGCTCTGTTTTTATCTAATTCTGTTTTAATTGTTTCTACTACAGATAGGATTAGAATCCACATGCAAAAGAATCTCTTCAGGAAACAGGAAGCTTCATCAGGAAACAATCTATATACAAAAGAACCTCCTCAGGAAAGCTCCTCCATTAGCATGTTCACAGCCTGGGGAACTCCTACAAGTTAATGACTCAGCCCTACCCCACCTTCCTGAGTAGATATAAATTACCATTTTGTATATGGATTGTTTCCTGAGGAGGTTTCCTGTTTCCTGAGGAGGTTCTTTTGCATGTGGATTCTAATCCTATCTGTAGTGCTATTGTCAGATGTAGAGCCTTTTGTGTTTTTCAGGACAGGACAGGAAACCATGCCTTATTTATTTTTAAATGTTCTTCTTTCCTGTTGAAATTGTGTTTATGAATTTCAATGGCTTCCCTGTGCAATCTGACATGGTAATTGGATGTGTTGTCCAGTCTTTCAGTGTCTTGAAACAAAATACTGTGTCCTGTTTGACTTAGGCTATGTTCGGCCACTGCTGATTTTTCAGGTTGGAAAGCTCCTCTGGAAAGCTCCTCTATTAGCATGTTCACAGCCTGGGGGAACTCCTACAAAATAATGATTCAGCCCTACTCCACCTTCCTGAGTAGAGATAAATTACCTGCCTACCATTTTTTTCTCACCTTGACACAGAGAATACCCCATCTTTCTGTGTTATACCTCTGAGGATGCCAGTCACAGCTACTGGCGAAACCTCAGGTCCTACAATGCCAAGACCACGGCCATACAACCCAGAAAATCTACAACAGCTAAGGCCTGGAGAATATTCAGAGAGGTGGCAGAATAAAGCCTGCCTCCGTCCTCCCGATTTGGTATTCCAAGGACGTCTCCCATCCAAGTACTAACCACAGTCGATCCTGCTTAGCTTCCGGGATCTAACGAGATTGGGCTTGCCTGGGCTATTCAGGCCAGGGCACTGCTTGCCAATCTTGATGGTCAAAGGATGCCTCTGAAACTCAACAAACAGGAGCTGATATAGTGAAACACCCCATTTCCCACTTCGTGCCCCTTACAATTACCAGGGTCGTGACGCAGAGGCAGGCAGTGGCGAACCACCTCTGAAATGTCTCTTGCTTTAAAAAGCAAGTCTACTTTGCCACCTAGTGGTGCATAACGGTAAAAGAGCTAGAACTTCTGGCAGCCAGACAATGTTAGGATTTCCTGGCTATTTGACACACAATGCCATACATTAATAATAACCCAAGAAAGCATATAAATAATTATTCCTTATGGGGATGCTGATTTCTCGTCTTTCTGCCACAGCTGGTCTACCTCAGGAAGTTCAAAGAATTGCGCACCTTGAACCTTGCCGGGAATCCAGTGTGTGACAACGAAGCGTACACCATGTACATTGCAGCGTATCTTCCAGACCTCGTGTACCTGGATTTTAGGATGGTGGAAGACAGTACGGTAAGAGCCCAAGGCCCAGTCCTAATCCGGCAGTGCCCGTTTTTCATTTTCCATGTGTTCATGAGGTCTAGAAACCAATCCCAAAGCATTTCCTTATCTGACTCTCACTCTGTCCCGGTCTTCTATGCCATCAGGGGACAAGAACCTACTTTTCAGAGCTTTTAGGGCTTCCCCAAAAACGGGCTGTCTACCTGCTACTGCTCTTGTCATTGTGCCCATGAGCTGTCATCATTGTTCTACTTCAGGGTGAATATATCGTTACATCCCTCTGTACCATCTGGCCTGCATAGATGGCCATTGGATTTGGACAGTGGAGTTTTCACAGCCTGGGCCTTAGAGAGGAGGGATTTGTAGTTGGATGAAGGACAGAGCCTTTCCACATCTGTGCCAGGATGCAGCATCAGGTGAAGGCCTCTCTGCCCTGTTGTTGGCCCTAACTGAGGAAATGGTTGGTCACTGTGTGAGACAGGAGACTGGACTAGATGGACCTTCACTGGTCTGATCCAGCAGGGCTCTTCTGAGGTTCTTCTCAGGGGAAGGCCTTGGCCTCTCTGCCCTGTTGTTGGCCCTAACTGAGGAAATGGTTGGTCACTGTGTGAGACAGGAGACTGGACTAGATGGACCTTCACTGGTCTGATCCAGCAGGGCTCTTCTGGGGTTCTTCTCAGGGGAAGGCCTCAGCCTCTCTACCCTGTTGCTGGGGTTCCTCCAGAGGAACTGGTTGGCCACTGTGTGAGACAGGAGGCTGGACTAGATGGACCCTCACTGGTCTGATCCAGCAGGGCTCTTCTGGGGTTCTTCTCAGGGGAAGGCCTCGGCCTCTCTACCCTGTTGCTGGGGTTCCTCTAGAGGAACTGGTTGGCTCCTGTGTGAGACAGGATGCTGGACTAGATGGACCCTCCCTGGTCTGATCCAGCAGGGCTCTTCTGGGGTTCTTCTCAGGGGAAGGCCTCAGTCTCTCTACCCTGTTGCTGGGGTTCCTCTAGAGGAACTGGTTGGCTCCTGTGTGAGACAGGAGGCTGGACTAGAGGGATCGCTGCACTGATCCAGCAGGGCTGTTCTTACGTTCTTCTAGGGATCCCCCAACATGGTGCACCTGGGCACCACAGCGCCCACCAACACCTTTTCTGGTGCCAACCAAGTCTCTTCAGAAGTAGGTGAAGCCAGGTGGGTCTTTTGCCCAGCTAGGATTCTGATTGGCTGCTGGGGATTAGATCAGCTGTGCAGATTTTTTTTTTAATCGCTTCGGCGGCAGCTTCCACTACAGCTCAAGACCTTTGTGTGGCCGCACCTGCCACGCTGTTTCAGAACTGCAGTGGTGCCCACCGGCTCTAAAACAGGGGTGTCGGACTCATTCATTATGAGGGCCGTATCCGACATAAACGTCACTTTGTCAGGCCAGGGTGTGTGTGCCATAAAACGTGATGCCAGGTGCCGGAGATACGAACTGGAGAAAAGGCAGCAGCTGGTAAGCTGCGAGTTGGTATATCCTCACTGCAAAGCCCCATGGACTGTGAGGGGGGTGCAAAGGAAAACCCATACGGGGTGGACTGGAGAGCCAGCGGTACAGCACTGGGCAGATGCTTCCACACTGCTTGATTGCTGCAGATCATAAAATCATAGAATGTGTTAGAGTTGGAAGGGACTTTGCAGGTCATCCAGTCCAACCCCCTGCACTCTGCAGGAGCATAGCCGAAAGAGAGCCCTACAACATACCCGGAAGATGGCTGTCCAGCCTTCGCTTGAAAACGTCCAGCGAAGGAGCATCCACCACCTCCCGAGGCAGTCTGTTCCACTGCTCAACCACTCTTACAGGAAGTTTCTCCTGATATTTAGCTGGTAACGACTCCCTTGTAATTTCCACCCATTAGATCAAGTCTTGCAATCCGGAGCAAGAGAGAATAGATCCGCTCCATCTTCTACATGACAGCCCTTCAGATACTTGAAGACTGCAATCATGTCCCCTCTAAGCCTTTTCTTTCCCAGGCTAAACAGACCCATCTCTTTCAGCCTTTCCTCGTAAGACTTGGATTCCAATCCTCTCGCCATCCTGGTTGCCCTCTTCTGGACACGCTCGAGCTTGAGGTTGTCCCTCCATGCTAAAGCCACAATTGCAGTAGCCAGGGGCGGATTAAGGCTCGCTGGTGCCCTCAGCACTGACCAATCTCGGTGCTCCCCCTCCTTTCCACACTGACCCAGTCCATTTTAGTTGTTGACCTGTCTGACCAGATATACAATGCAGGTTGCAGCAATACAAAAATGTATTTATACAATAACACAATATACTGTACAAACGAGGCTTTTCACCCTTTCCCCAACTTTGTGGTGCCCCCTTTGGCCCTGGTGCCCCAAGCACGTGCTTAGTCTGCTTAATGGTTCATCTGCCCCTGGCAGTAGCTCTGCCCACCCTGATATTTGACTTCCCTGCTCTAAAAGGTTGGGGACCCCTATACTAGACAGAGACATGGAGAACAGGTGGCGACAAGCAGTCAACCTGTTGGTAACCCAACAAAGTGATTAATGCATGGCATTCACTGCCGCAGGTGGCGGCTGCGGCTGCAAGCATGGACGGCTTCAAGAGGGAATTGGATAAATATATGGAGTAGAGGTCCATCAGTGGCTATTAGCCACAAGGTGTAGATAGGAACTCTCGGTCTGGGGCAAGGGATGCTCTGTATTCTTGGTGCTTGCGGGGGGGGGGGGCAACAGTGGGAGGGCTTTTGGCGTTCTGGCCCCACTGCTGGACCCCCTGATGGCCCCTGGTATTTCTGGCCACTGTGTGACAGAGTGTTGGACTGGATGGGCCATTGGCCTGATCCAACATTGGCTTCTCTTATGTTCTTAATATGGAACAGAGGTCCATCAGTGGCTGTTAGCCACAAGGTATAGATAGGAACGGGCTGCGGTGGCTCAAGTGGTTAAGATGCCGAACTGCAGACCAGAAAGTCTCTAGTTTGGCAGTTCGAGACCCGAGTGCCGCATGACGGAGTGAGCTCCCGTCTCTGGCCCCAGCTCCTGCCAACCTAGCAGTTTGAAAGCAAAAAATTGCAAGTAGATAAATAGGGACTGCTTTGGTGGGAAGGTAACAGTGGTCCGTGCACCCCGGCATCTAGTCATGCTGGCCACATGACCACGGAAACGTCTCTGGACAGCGCTGGCTCTTCGGCTTGGAAACGGAGATGAGCACCGCATCCCTAGAGTCGGATTCGACTGGCTTTTGAGCAAGGGAGACTTTTACCTTTACCTAAAGACTGGGGCAAGGGATGCTCTGTCTTCTTGGTGCTTGTGGGGGGCAACAGTGTGAGGGCTTCTAGTGTCCTGGCCCCACTGCTGGACCTCCTGGTGGCACCTGGTATTTTTGGCCACTGTGTGACACAGAGTGTTGGACTGGATTGGCCATTGGCCTGATCCAACATTGGCTTCTCTTACGTTCTCATGTAACCCCCTTGTTCCCTGGTAAGCCAAATCTGTAAGGTAGGTCTGCCTCCTGTACTGCCACTATTTGAGGACAGAGATGGCAGCAAACTGGGCCTTCAGCAGCCCCCATGTCCCCAAATCAGCTTGTCTTGCAAATGAAGATTGGTCTGCATGAGTTCTCTCTGTGCGCGTGTTCTTGTCGCCCAGAAGGAGATTGCCTTCGTCAAATACCAGTACGCCATCGAGGAGATGAAGCAAGGAGAAGCCGTGGCCCTGGCCAAACAGGAGGCCGAGAAGGCAAAGCAGAAGGAGCTGGACTACCACAAGGTATGTTTCTCCCCTTTTGGCCGGCCGCCTGTCGCCAGAGCAGACAGAGAATCCAACTGGTGCTGGATTCTCTTCCACGCTGGCAAATGTTTAATGATTGACCTCTGCAGGGACACATTCAGCCCCGGACTGACCACTAAGCAAAACAGGCATGTGCTTAGGGCACCAAGGGACTGGGGGGGGGACCACAGAGGGTGCTTTTGCTTATATTGCTGGCTGCTATTTAGTGTTAAATAAATTTTCAAAATTGAAGCTTATGTTTAATATGTTTGTGGGGTCTGGCCTGGGGAATGGCCTGGAAGGAAACTGAATTTTCAATCTCTCATTTCACCTTCAGAGCTTTACTGAGTCTCAGTGTCTTGTCAAGTTAAGCAGTGGAAAGGCCGAGGGGCACCGTTGTCGGGTTGTGCTTAGAGCCAGTTTGGTGTAGTGGTTAGGAGCACCGGACTAATCTGGGAGAACCGGGTTTTATTCCCCACTCCTCCTCCACATGCAGTTGCTGGGTGAGCTTGGGTCAGTCAAAGCTCTCTGAGACCTGTTCTCCCAAGGGCAGTTCTCTCAGAGCTCTCTCAGCCCCACCTACCTCACAGGGGGTGTCTGCTGTGGGCAGGGGAAGGGAAAGGGGTTTGTAAGCCGTTCTGAGTGAAGGGCGGGGTATAAATTATTATTCCTCCTCCTCCTCTTCTTCCTTCTTCCTCCTTCTTCCTCCAAGACCTGACAAGATCGGGCTATACATCTGTTGTGAGAAGGCCTCCTCCGGACAGTCAACCACAGAGCACAGAAGCCAAGGCTTTACCCCAATAAGAACCTCAGAAGAGCCCTGCAGGATCAGCCCAATGGTCCATCTAGTCCAGCATCCCATCTCACACAGGGGCCAACCAGTTCCTCTGGAGGGCCAACAACAGGGCACAGAGGCTGAGACCTTCCCCAGATAAGAACTTGAAAAGAGCCCTGCTGGGTCAGACCAGTGAGGGTCCCTCTAGTCCAGCATCCCGTCCCACGCAGTGGATGGCCAACAGGGCACAGAGGCCGAGGCCATCCCCTGATGTTGCCTCCCAGCTCTGGGATTCAGAGCATTAGTGACTCTGAATATGGAGGGTCCCGTCAGTCACTATGGCTACTGGCCCTTGATAGACTGCTTCTCCGTGTCTGTGTCTAATCCCTCTTTAAAGCTGTTTATTCCTGTGGCCATCACGACATCCTCTAGCAGCGAATTCCACATTTATCGTTTATCCGAGTCAGGTCGTGAAACCGTTTTGTGCTGGGCGGCCTTATTACCTGTGCAGAGAAGCCCTCTTGGATAGTTCAGTTTTGCATAGGTTGTGGAAGTCCAGGATAGTGGCATCCCCACTTCTCCACTTGCACCTGCTGGTGTGACCTTGGGTCAGTCACAAGTTCTCTCAGAGCTGTTCTCGAAAAAGAGCAGTTTCTGTCAGAGCTCTCTTAGCCCCACCTACCTCACAGGGTCCCTGTTGTGGGGAGGGGAAGGGAAAGGAGTTTGTAAGTTGCTCTGAGACTCCTTCAGGTCGTGACGGGCGGGGTATAAATCCAATCTCTTCTTCTTCAATCTCTTCTTCTTCTTCCTCAGGCAGGCCATTTCCTAAACCAGAATAATAATATGCAATATATTCAGGGCCATGTAAATTTAAAACATCAGGGTTTGTTTGTTTGTTCCTTTTGGCTTTTTCCACATGACCACATGACCTTTGTCCTCTCAGGCAGCTTACGTGGAATATCTCAACGGCTCCTTCCTCTTCGACAGCATGTATGTTGAAGATCCCGAGGCTTCCAAACTGGAGTACCTCCCTGGAGTGCCGGAACTGCTGGAGACATATCCTGCCTGATTCAGAACAACTAGTCGCCCATTTTTGAGCAGGGGACGTTATCGGTAACCCGCCCCCCAAAAAACACCTACTGGCCCCCTTCCTCACAGGTAGAGAGCCAGTGGTTAAGAGCAACAGACTCTAACCTGGAGAACCGGGTTCGGTTCCACGCTCCTCCACCTGAAGCCAGTTGGGTGACCTTGGGTCAGTCACAGCTCTCTCAGAGCTCTCTCAGCACAAAAAACAGGTCTGGCTTGCCACCTAGTGGTGAATATTGTTAAAAGAGCCAGAACTTCAGGCTGCCAGACAATCTTAGGATCTCCTGGCTGTACCACACACAATGCCATATGATTGTTATTATTTCCTGTCGAGTATGAGAGCCCACTTGGACTGGAGAGGATACATTTACAGGAACCAAGGAGATTTGAGTCCCGTAGAACCTTAACGACTGACGAGATTTTGGGGGCAAAGCTGCCTTCATCAGATACCCCGGGGGGAAAAACAACCGTAGTGGACTCAGATCTCACTGTTTTACCGCAGACCAACACAGCAACCCACTGGAAACTGTCATTGGTATCAAGATTCTCTTCACAATGACCCCTGTGAAGGCAGAAGAGAAGAGATTGGATTTATACCCTCCCCTTTACTTAAAAGTCTCAGAGCAGCTTACAGTCTCCTTTCCCTTCCCCTCCCGCCCCATAACAGACACCCAGTGAGGTAGGTGGGGCTGAGAGAGCTCTGAGAGAACTGTGGCTTGCCCAAGGTCACCCAACTGACTGCATGTGGAGGAGGAGTAGGGAATCAAACCCGGTTCTCCCAGATTAGAGTCCGTGTTCTTAACCGCTACACCAAACATCCTGTTTCAGACATCCTGACTCTGGTAGAACTAGTCTGATGCGAAACTCCCCACGAACTTTTTGCAGATGGGAAACTCCCCGTGGACTTTTTGCGGTTAGGGCAAGGAGCCCCCCTAAACCAGAAACCAGCAGTGTAGACAGTTCAGTGGAGGAATCAAACCAAGCCACCAACAACCCAAGATTGTTTGTTTTCCCCGGGGGTCTTTGATCGAGAAAACAGAGTGCAGTTTTTTTAAACTTCTTTATTTATGCTTTTCCATCGTAATTCACGTTAACATATCTTCGTCATTCCAGTCATCGTATATTATTTAACATTTACACGTTTACATTCTTTCCTACATTTAAGTCAAGATTCCCTATCTATATATCTAATAACGAAAGGCGTCCCCTGCGTGCGGATACCTAAATCCGCGCATCGAGGGCACCTGGGGGGGGGAGAGAGATTTTTGTGCACACTTGGGGCAGTCCCCAGGTGTGCACAAAAATCTAAAAACCTGAAAAAAATATCAGGGGGATACTTCTTGTTGTTGTTCAGTCGCACAGTCGAGTCCGACTCTTCGCGACGCCATGGATCATCTCCCGCCAGGCCCTCCTGTCTTCCGCCGTCCTCTGAAGTTGGCTCAATTTCATGTTCGTTGCATCGATGACACTGTCTAACCATCTCATCCTTTGCCGTCCCCGTCTTCTTTGACCTTCAATCTTTCCCAGCATCAGGGTCTTCTCCAGGGAGTGCTCCCTTCTCATTTGGTGGCCAAAGTATTTGAGCTTCAGTTTCATTATCTGGCCTTCCAGGGAACAGTCAGGGTTGATTTCTTTGAGGATTGACTGATTTGATCTCCTTGCAGTCCAAGGAACTCTCAAGAGTCTTCTCCAGCACCATAGTTCAAAAGAATCTATTCTTCGGCGCTCGGCCTTCCTTATAGTCCAACTCTCGCAGCCATACATGACTACTGGGAATACCATTGCTTGGACCATGCAGACTTTTGTTGGCAGGGTGATGTCTCTACTTTTTATCATGCTGTTGAGGTTCGCCATCGCTTTCCTCCCAAGGAGCAGGCGTCTTTTAATTTCATCGCTGCAGTCACAGTCTGCGGTGATCTGGGATCCCAGGAACGTGAAGTCTGTCACTACTTCCACAACTTCCCCTTCTATTTGCCAAGGAGTGATGGGGCCGGATGCCATGATCTTAGTTTTTTTGATGTTGAGCTTCAAGCCCACTTTTGCGCTCTCCTCTTTTACTCTGAGCAAGAGGCTCTTTAGGTCCTCTTCACTTTCAGCCATTAGAGTGGTATCATCTGCATATCTGAGGTTGTTGATCTTTTCCCCAG